TTTATTAGGAATTGTAATAAAAACAATTATAAACAACACCTTATAAATATATAATATATTATTTAATAAAATTAAAATTACATAAAATAAATTAAAATTACATAAAATAAATTAAAATAAATATATAAATGCGTTAAGATATACAAAATATTTAGAATATTTTTTTTTAAAAAAGAAAATTTAGTCATCACTATCACCATCTCTTAAATTATTTTTCGATTGTTGGTTGTTGAGAGAAATGACTGACTATTGGGTTGTGGGAGGGTTAGCGGGGAGAGACGTGAGGCGAGTTGAAAGTTCTCAAACAACCCTATAACTCTCTACAACTAAGTCCGTATATTGCTAACTTGATTGTGCTATTGCTGAATGGTACCCTCCATGTACTCGATGCTATCTTTGTATTGAGGAAAAACCTCATGGATATTGCTAACAAGATACCACAAAGTGATAGAGGAGGAGCTAATGTCAAAATATGAGTAACACTCGTGTTGTATAAGTTCGATGCCGTAAGTTCTTTACTTTTTCTTCTTCCCTTTGATAACATTTAAATATATCTTGGATATGTCGATATCTTGAGATGATGCATCACCCTCTTGATGCTTCGCTTAGTAGCTACTTCTTGCATTGATTGCATATGCTCCTAAATCATTTAAATAATTATAATATTAAATCATAAATATAATTTTTAGATTATATTGATGTACATATATTTAAACAAAATATTAAGCCTTACTATTACTCGTCTACAACCGTTTGTTGACGAATGTCCCATCCTTCCGACTTATGAGTGGTCACGAACGACTTGTAAGAATTTGGGTCACAACTCAATCTATTATGAGATTAAAAAAAAAAATACAATAATATGAGATGAAATAAATAAAAAACTGATTTATAACATAATGGATAATATAGTATTTACCAAACGGTCGGTGTGATCGTTCAAAAAAATGGACCCTTTAGTATGGTTAGATAGGCTAGTAGCGACACTATCCATCTCCGACATGCAATTCGAGACGTGTGCTAAGATCGGGCTTGATACTCGAGAGTGGCCTAATCTTGATGCCATACTTCCTACACCTCCTATTAACAAAAATAGGTATGTTGCTCTCATGCTGTAGCTTGTTTAGCATATTACCATACCGCCTTCGTGCTAAACTCTCCCATGTATCCTTAATGAGTGCGTCGACGATCACATCCCATAAAAAGTACTTTTACATGAATGAAAAAAATAATATTAGTACTTTTCATGATAAATTAACACTTGAAATGAAATATAAGAAAATAATTAATATTTTATCCTAAACTTATTAAAGTAGAAGTCTTTCGTCTCTATGGAGATAGAATTTCATGTAGAGTTAGTGACATCCAACCACTTCTTAAAAATTATGGTGATTTTTTTGAAGCACTTGCTTGATGGAATCAAACTTTCAAACAAACCAAACAAATAATAAATAAGTGAATTAATGATTTTAATATAATATATAAAAATATAAAACTAACTATCACATGTAAAATATATTGTTTATCAATTATTCACGATCCAAATGGTCCGTGCATCATCGGATCCACTAGAACTTCTTAGAGTTGAGGAAACCATAATGGGATGGTCCACAACGGAAGGCACTATTGGTGTAGGCATTACTAGAGGGGATGTAGATATGCCGATACCACTATCAAGTTGTAGCCATGGATAGTTAGACTAGTAGTGCCATGTCCAAGTATACCACTATAATCGGTCGCACGGTCAACATCGAGCCACGATCGCAAACACCGTAACTAGGTTTACTCAATCCACTAGGTATAACTCAAGAATAACATTTGAAACGAGTTTAACAAATGAATAACAATTCGAGGTAACACAAAATTATTTAATTAATAATTTTTCTAAACATATAATAAAATTTAAACAAAGTCTCCCCAGTAAATTACACCTTTCCCAATTAATAAATACTTCAAATGATCACACAAACAACAAATTAAATCAACCTACAATCAATTTGCACATATTGAGACAAACAATTTTCTCGGATACTCCATCAAAATTAAATCTCAAACTTGTCATCTCAGCTTTATTGCAAAGCATTGAACCCACCTTGTTTCTTCTCAATTTTCGAGGGTCTCCAACCCCTAGTGGTTCGATATACTACGACATATCTCGATACACTTTAATAAATATATATGAAATAATTAAACTAATTAATTCTAATTCCAACCAATATTAAATCTAAAATAATAATAAACTTCTAGTTTTTAATATAAATAAAGTTTTAGTTCAACCAATTAAACAAAATTAACCCAATTAAGTAATTAAATAAAAATCTAATTAACTTAATTAATTCTAATTCTAAACAAATTAAATTTAAAATAACAATAAACTTCTAATTTTTAATATAAATGAAGTTTTAATTCAACCAATTAAACAAGTTAACCTAGTTAATTAATTAAATAAAAATCTAATTAACTTAATTAATTCTAATTCTAACCAAATTAAATTTAAAATAATAATTAATTAATAATTTTTAATATTAATAAATTTTTACTTCAATCAATTAAACATAGTTAACCTAATTAACAAATCAAATATATATCTAGTTAACTTAATTTATTCCAATGTTAACCAAATTAAACTTAAAATAAAAATTAATTAACAATTTCTAATATAAATAGACTTATAATTCAACTAATTAAACATAATTAACTAGATTAATTAATAAATATAAATCAAATTAACTTAATTAAGAGAAAAATAAATAATTAATTAACAAAATTACAATTAATTAACAAATTTATTCTAATTTAATCAATTAAACATAATTAACCTAAGTAATTAACTAAACTTTAATAAAATTAACTTAATTTTTCAAAAATATATTTTGATTAATTTCAAATAATAATTAAGTAATTAATTATTCTAATAATTAATTAATTAATTAATCTAATAATTAACAAATTTTAACAATTAGACAATTTAATCAACCATTCAATCTAACAATTAACAAAAATTAATAATTTAACAAATAAATTGACAAATTAACTATTAAATATATACACAATTATAAATCAAGTAATTAAACTTAAATTAACCAAGAAATTATAAAAAATTACTAACTTTAATTAAGAAAATAAAAGAGAAAAAAATTCCTAATTCGGGTGGAATTACACTAAGAGGAAGGAGAAAAAATGAGGGTTTTTTTTTTTAAGAGAAAAGACCTTGAAGTGAGTTTGGATCAATTGAGAGTGGATGAGTGGAGTTTGTCTGAAGGTTTGGAGGGTGGGAGAACGAAGACAGTAGCTACGAAAGGACATGGAGAAGAAAATAGGCAAGGATGAAGAAAAGGAGGGCTAAATTAAGGCTAAACAATAGGGGTGGACGCAATCCTCTCGTTGGTCCATCCCTAAACAACAATGGATATTTAAATTTGTTGCTAATCCGCATCAAAATGTTTGTCAATCTTGCATGGCTGGCCACCTATTTTTTCATATATAATGGCGAACATAAGTGTTGTTGCTAATCCATCGTAAATTAGATGGTCTTGTCTTTCAAAAAGTCTCGCTCAATTTTGCCCAAATTCTCACCTCTTAGCAACGGATTTGCTAAGTTGCCGGAGATATGTCCTCTAGTGAATGAATATCTATCGCTAAATCATAATATTGAAAATAGTGATAGTTAATTATGTTTATTAGCGATGAATTTGCTAGGAAATATAGCGATAAAATGACAAATCTATCGCCAAACCGTCTCTAAAACTCTTGAGAATATTTTATCGTCAAATTTAGCAACAAATTAGTGTCGATTGCTAATAAATCGTTGCTATTCTAGCAGTCGCTATTTACTTTTTATTTAACGATAAACTTATGTCCTTCATTAATTTTCATTATTGTTTAACGAAATTCGATAGTGATCAACTTTATTTAAAATTATCCATTTGCTTCTCTCGGGTGCCTAAAATATAGTTTCTATGAGGTGTTCAAACATCGTTTATACTAAAATCGGGAAGAAAAGAAACAAACTAAGTTGTTTCACTTTGTCCATGTTTGTCAACATTTTTCTTTTTTTAAAAAAACCTTACATACTCAAGGCTTTTAACAAAACTAGTATGTTAGGATTTGAATCCGTGACCTCTTGTTACAAGAAACCATTACCATTGGACTAAAAGCTCTTTGGTTGTCAACATTTTCCTTAGACATGCAACTTAAAAGCGAGCTTCATCAATCTACTAAACCTTTACGCCTTTCTATGCTATTAATAAAACAAGCTTTGTTTGCTATGATGCCAAGTTTTTCAACTAGTTTTTCATAAAACTATATATTTCAATCCCTCGTGATGAAAGGTTGGGACTTAGATTGGGCTTAAGATGCAATTGCAATCAAATTAAGGTGAGTTTCAAACCCTAATTGCAAATATGATGCCTCGAAACAACATAAAAACATTAAAAAAGGAACATACAAGTAAAAGAAGATAGCGGGACCACAAAGAAGGACTAAAGAAAAGAGAGAAAAAGAGGAAGGAGAAAATAAACTAACCATTACCAACTTCACAAAGCTAATTAGATATAAATTAGTATTAAGGAAAATATTATATTATTTGTTGAGTAACTATTAATGCTTCCCTTGTAAAAAAAGATAGATATAAAGAGAAGAGAAAAAATATGAGACTAAAAAAAAAACAAATTGAGTTCATGTAGAAATATTTTTATCCCTTTTGAAAGATATAGATGTAATTCTCTCTCTCTCTATTTATTTTTTTTATTTTTTTATATTTTTTTGCATTTATCTCTATATTCAAAAATAGATAAATAGAGTAACTATTATAATAGGGGGAAAAAAAAACCACAAGAAGCCAAACTCATTTTCTAGCGTCTTAAGATGCAGGAGCAATTGTAGTTGCCACTGCTACAAAGCATAAAACTAAATATAAAAATGCCATCATAGACAAACCAAAAGAGTAACATACAAATTAATTAACGCAGCTACAGGGTCACAAAATGTCTGTAAACCTCTCATGCCACATTCTCGAGTGAAACAAAGCTCGGGGAAACAGCAATCATCGGATCGGACCTGTGAAATACATGTCTATAACTTTGATTTCTAGGTTCACAAACAAGCAAAGAGTGATCACCGCAAAGTAGCACGATATTTCCATCACTCAAAACCTTTATAAGTTTAAATCTGCGATAAATGTTCCACAAGTCTTCAAGTGGACTTTTGATGTTAAGAATTCTAATCCAAGACTCTTTGAAACCATATTCCTTCATCAACCAAACTTGGACAGAAGGAACCAAATCAGAAGCACTCCTGGCACTTATATAGAGAAAATCTTCAAGCACACCAATGTCAGACCAATAATAATCTCTCCTATTCTTGTTTGTTGAAATTATAGGTGGTGATGGAAGACATGAGAATTTCTCATTTCGAACGTCAAGACAATAAATCAATTCAGAAGCATGACCTTCTATATTCCAATGACGTATACCATTGAAATTCGTACCACAAAATCTAGCACTAAGTTCATAGCAAACCTTGCCAATATTTCTTCAATTTGTATCAGTGCCGACTGTGGTTATTTCTGCTTCCCATAAAGCTTCTGTAGACTTTGGTTTATAATTCGAACCACTTTGTATTTTTTATCTGCAAACCCTAACCCAGATATAACAGTAGACGATACTGATAGATAAGAAGATGCCCGTGTTACTTCAGGAAGTAACACGTACTCACAGAGCATTGGATTCCACAAGCTAACAGGATTACCAGATTCTTTGTCACATAAAGATAGAAATCCATTACAGGAACTTTTCACCAGAATAGCAGTATGTTTCTCAGTTAGCATTAAAGGAGGGCCACCCTTTCCAGCTACGCCAATATCGATTTTACGAGCAGGACAATCTTGGGAATCACAATCAACCATGCATACAGTATCCGAACTTCGATGAACAATAGGGATTAGAAGCTGTGTCGGGCCATTGGCAGCATAACTTACAGGAAAATAAGGATCTAAAAAATAGTCGTTCCATAATTTGCACACACACCTGGAATTGAAGAGAGTCTTGAGGGGAAGTCGAGATAATATTTCAATCATAATACAGGATGGCAAGTCGTGTATGCTTGTGCTCCCTTCTTCATCTGAATTTACTACCATATGTTGCTTTGTTTCTTGACTAGCCTCCATTATTTGCTTATGATTCAAAAAAAAAAAAAAAAAAAAAAAGCAAAGACAATCTTTGAAGGGAAAAAAAAAAAAACACTACGTATGATGGGTGATCGATGTGGGTGATTTTGGGAGCGTAGAGGCTATATATATATATTATGAGGTACGGTGTCGGGTTAGTTGTTCTCTTGATGGATTGGTAATCCTAACTAGTTTAGGACAATTATATCGCGTTATCATTTAGCTTATCTAACAAAAAGACGGAGTACAACAATCCTGCTATACAATGGAAAGAAAATAGTAAAATTCAAGTAGCAAAAACTCACCGGTTTAAGGCATCGAGGAGGAGCAAACACAAAAATAAATAAATATAATAATAATAAATTTTCTTTTATACATTGTTCTACTCTCATTTTCATCCTTTTTTTCCCCCATGAATAATAACAGACAATGTGTGTAACTTTTAATTTGGTCTCCAAAATTAATGGCATAGCTCAATATAATCCTAGAGGTAAGTATGAATAAATTGTAATTAAAAAAAGTCATTAACAAAATAAAATTTTTAGCAAAACAAATATGATTAAAAAAAAAAAAATCACAACACTATCTATGAACCCTTTGACAATAAAAGAACAAGATTAAGTTAAAAATAAATATGATAAAAACAATATTTTTAACAGCAACATCAACCACTATTATTGTTGCCTCTCCTACATTCTCTCACTAACATATAATATCTGCATATTTTATCATCAACTATAAAATATTAAACAAGAATTTTTAAAAAATAAAATTAAAATTCCATATGGTTGAAATGGTAGAATGAAAATACGATAAGTTTGACATCACTTAAAGTTAAATTCATTTTATCTTAATTTTCATTTAAATATAATATTGACAAAGAAAAAGACAATATTGCTAATTGATAATTAAAGTATTAGAATGGAGATACTTTTTTAGAAACTAACTCAAGTTTTATGACATTTGTTTTACTAAAAAAATGTCTTTTTTTATTTATTTATTTCAATTTGTTTTTTTTTTTTTTATGATATTGAGATAATTTATAAATTTTAAGGATGAAATTAAAATTTACATTTTTTTTTGTTACTATTCCTGACAAAAATGGATGGAGGAGCAAAATGAAAAATGTGGACACTCATTGAAATAGGTTTAATGTTAACCTTTAATTATGCTCATTTTAATTTATAAAATATTATAATTTATATTATAAACATTTTAATGCTCAATGGATATTATAAATATTTTATAAAAAAATATTGTAAAAAAAATAATTAACTTACACAATCTCAATCCTTTAAAAAATTAACGAGGTTAAAAATATTTATTTTTTTATATATAATTTACAAAAATTTTATAAGAAAAAAATTTATAAATTGTTTTTTTTTTTTAAAGTTCACGATTAAGAGGTTAAAAATATTTTTAAAATATTAAAAGAAAAGCTTAATTAATAGCATAATATCGAAACGACGTGGTTTTGACATTTTAAGTAAAAGTTAATTTAATTGATCTGTTACATATAACGATAAATCAGAAAATTTGAACAATTTTTTTCAAAAACCATTAATTTGAGATTTTAATTATGTAATTTGATACTAAAGACATGAAATTATCAAATCGTAATAAATTGAGGATAAAGTTTGCCATCAAACCGATTGAAATAACAATAAAATATATAAGGACTAATTCACACAAACTAAAAAACATTTAGGTCTAATTAAAACAGAATATAAACTTCAAGGGGCAAATTTCCTACCCTATATATATGCACACACGCTCAAGTGAAAATTTCTTCAAAGGAATCTAGAATTCCGAGACTAAATGGCCAGTGCATAACGCCAAGAATGCTTTCTTTTTTGGATGTAAACGCAGTTAATGCTTTGGGTAATTGAGTCCTAGATCGTAGATCGGTACCGTCAAATTTTTTCGAGCATTCTTCTCTCTTCTGAGGAAAATTAAAAGAAAAAAGTTGGTTTCTAGCTGCTTGGATTTGATTCTCCAAAACACCCACCCCAGCCACACACACCCCAAACCAACCCCACCCCCAAATTTGTTTCACTTTGTTGCTTCTCTTCAATGGATATTTCCTCTTTTTTTATTCTTCTTAATTTTTCTCATCTACTTTTTTATTTTTCTTACGACAGTATGATACAAGAATTCTTTGCATGATATTTATTAAATTAGTTGTTAAAAAAGGGATTTATTAATTTCAAGTATGAATATGGTGATCACCTGCCTTCATAAGCTTTTTTAGTACGTCAATTTTTTTTTAAATCTAATTAAAATTAACAAAAATACAAAAACTTGGACTAAAGGATCTCTTTATTATGTGAAAAATTAATAATTTGAGAGATTCAAATTAAAAAAATTAAAAGTTTAAGAGTTAAGTAAATTTTACCAAAAATTGAGGATAGTTTTAGCTCGATTAGTCAACATAATAATAACAATAAGAAGAAGAAGAAGACAGTTTTAAAAGGCTATGTCTGTATATGATTCAAAACTATGTACAAGTTAGACCTATTTTGATGTCGGCCCAAGTTGGATCTGATTTTATTTTTCATTTTTTTATGGGCTTAGTATGATTAGCTAGATGTAATTGTGTATTATTTACTCTAGGTCCATCAATCAATATAATTTAATGATTTTCTTCAATCCTTTATATATATAGTTTTTATTAATAATTTTGGAAGCTATACTTCCTTAATCAATAGAAGTTGTTAAACGATTTTTAGATACGCTTCCTTGGTACTTTTTAGTCGTTCTTTTCATCAACTGCAACTTGGTTATTTAATAACTCAATTATTTCCATCATAGTAGTTTAATAATTTATTTAATTTCAGTCCTTTTCGAGACTACACTAAAAGTTGGCAAAATATATTACTATATATGGAGGAAATTAAGGGGATACGCTTCTCAATCTTGTTCTCTAAGCAAAAGATAAGAAAATGAAAGGTACTTTAGTTACTTGTGATGGGATCTTTGCTTTAGTAAGTGTTACTATCAATATTATTGTACATTGGAACTTTTAATTTCCACTAATGGATTGATTGCAAAGAAGACAAAGGAAAGAAAAGGAGGCATGTTAATGCTTCAAATTGTTTTTCTACGAATTAGATATCAAAGCATGTAACTTAAAAGAGATGCATGCTTTTATCATGTGGGACAAATATAAAGATGGATACATAAGCACCAATTTGAAGTTAAAAATCATGCTATAAGTAATGGCAAGTTTGTAGTTAGCAAATGCTTTTTGGTTCATTAAGATTCTATTTGAATTTTTTCTTTTCTTTTTGAACAACCACTAGAACTAATTACAATATTGATTTAGAAAAATGAGCACAAAGGAAAGATAAATAATAGATGAAGAGTGTACTAACAATCTATATTACTCAATCTGCTATTATGATAACTCTTTTTAAAAAAAAAACTAATACCAAAATACGATGATAACGTCTGAGCAATTGCTATCATTTCTTCATCAAAGATGAATTTTCTAAATCTAATACTAATTATAGTTTGTGCCACAAACTATAAGATGAACTTTAAGAGAGATTTGCTACCCACGGAATTTCACGACAAAGCTTAATAGAGTAAATCAAACTCCATGATCAAATCAAAATCATAGATTTGATTGAGATTATATTTATATAATAGGTTAACAATGTGATCTTAGAATTAATTGTAGCATGATAGTAGGAATGATGGATTTGTAATAATTATGTTTTATATGTATAAATATAAGATTTTTAACTCTTGAAAAGGTAAGGAATGCACATTCAACAATCTAATTTTTTTTTCATGGTGTTAGAGTTTTTGAATACCATCCACAATTTTCTGCCATCGAATATACAACCACTTTAATACCAAACTAAACGAGCTCTTTTTCTTTACAACAATGTCTGAATCATTTTTAAACAATACACTTCCTATCACAAATGTTGCCCACTTTGTTTTAGTTAAACTAGATGGAAACAACTACTTAATATGGTGAGATCAACTTCAATCAATTCTTATTAGCACAAATTTATTTAGTTATGTTGACAATTTAATATCAACTCTTCCTAGAAAGATTCAATCATCTTCATCACAAGGTGAAGAACCAAATCAAAAGTGCAACAAGGGAAGAAAGTTGGATTATTTTGTCAAGACATGCATCAATGCCACACTTACTGAGTGTTTTTGTTCGAGTTCTAGGTTTGAAAACTACAAAAGAGGTATGGGATAGCATAGAAGAACTTTTTCTACAACAATCACTTGCTAGAAAATCACATATTCGCCAACAATTTCAAGAAATTGAAAAAGCTACATACACTATTTGTAGCCCTTAAAATATTCTACTTCTTATTCTGCATGTGTATGCTTGTGGATATGTCTTAATTTCATTCTTGTTTTATGAATATGATTGATAATTTTTAATTGTTTCTATTATGTAAATTGATTTAGACTAAATGTGTTTTAAGATTAAGAAAAAATGAGGTAATTAGAGTTAATTAAGTTTGATGAAATTTATCTAGTGAGATGAATCAAAGTAATATAATTTTTTTAGTCTTAAATGGAAGTGTAGAAGAATGAAGTGATTTTTTAGGTGAATTAATGCAATAATAATAATAAATTTGGCAACCTATATTTTAAAAAACGGACAACCCATATTCCTTTTTTTTTTTTTTTCATTTCTTTTATTCTCTTCTCCTTCACTTCTAACCCACTATAAAAATTTCAAAAAATAGCTACGAATTATTCCATCGTTATTTCCCGTAAATCGATTGCTAAATGACTTTAACAATGGATTAGAAACATATAATTCAATCCATTGCTAAAGTGATGATCATTATTTTTTCAACGAAGGAATTTTTTTCCATTGTAATTTTGTTGATATTCCATCCCTAAATGGTTCTAAATCGGTCATCTCCGATTTGGTTGCAAACCGTCACCATTTCAACTAATTTTCATTACTTAATAATGTGTATTGTGCGATCGCTAATATACTCGCAATACCATCTCTA